AGAAACCGCGAGGGTGACAGACGTGCACACTAGGACTCGAATTCAGATGTAATGAAAAAAAACAAGCTCTTTTTATCACTAGACCAAGTACTGAAATAACAAGGAAGATATTTTTGAAACACGTGGACGGGGGTGGTTTTGTGAATAGATCGATGAATAGACAGCGTGATTGCAAGCTAGTTCATCTAGTTAGAAAACTCATTTTTAGTGGTTATCATTTACTAAGTTATTTTAAGTCCAAGATAGAAGAACATTAATTTGTGACTTTTGAAATTAACTGTATTATCAAATTTGAATTATGTTTATTTATTTATTTGTGGGAAGAGTGAGTACCCTTTGATCTATTGGTCTGAATACATAAGAAAAAAAACCATTAATAAAAAAATATTATTACAACACTCAAACAAACCCTAGAAGACCAATCAATGAAAAGAAAGGGAAACGAGAAGGTGGCTGCTGGCTTTGATTTGTTTGGAAGCAAAACCTACTGCCACAGTCACCAACTACAGTTTCAGGTGTCGTGTTTTCTCTCACAGAAGCCAAACGTCGACATAGGGATTTGATGTGATAGAAAATAAAGCTCACGAGCCCTTTGTATATATATGTTTTGGTCATCATCAGCTCTATAGATCATTGATTTGTGATTGGATTATGAGCAAAGATAACCTAACTAGGTTAAGAAAGAGAGTAATCTTTGTGAGGATCTTTGACTCTTGTAATATCTACAGGTCCTCGCTTAATAAATTATCTGTATCCCAAAGCGTATGAGATGTTTTCTTCCTTGTGTCGACGTTTGGCTTGCCCTTAAGCATTCTAATTCCCGATTATAGATTGTTATACCTTGTGGGGGCAGCAGATTAGGGCTGGTATCTCTGTGCCTTGCCCTTAAACATTCTAATTCCCGATTATAGCTTTTCGTACCAGACATTGGAGGAGTCTTAAGGGTGGTCTTGCTGGTGGGGTTACTGTCGGTTTCTTTTTTATTGTTTAGGACATAATTATCTTTTTAAAAAAAGTTGCTTTCTTTACATTCTTCCCCTTTAATACAAAACACAAACAATCCATTCAAGAGTATTTAAAGGAATGTCTATTGCAAGAAAAAAAAAAGGAACGTAAGAGTTGAAGATTCAAATGAACATATGTGAAACAATAATTGAAGAGAAGATGTCCATATATGTGCACCTAAACGTTTTATATATATAATTGATTGATTTATTAATGAAACAACCATTAATGGCCAAAAAAAATATAATGAATTTAAAAAAAAAAAAAAAACAAGAAAAGATTGAAAATTAACAATTCTAATTATAGTATATCAGTAATATCAGAATCTAAGCTCCATTTTTTATGTGCTTTCTGACTGTATTTATTCAAAGATGAATATCTTCAGCACTACGAAAAAGATCGGTTTCTATGTATGAAAAATCAGGCTCTTTAACCTTTATATAACAAGATAAACAATAAAGAATCAAGCCAAAGTTTGCATCTCAATTCACTGCTTTGGAGTCGTTGTTCATACACAGGACAACCAAACACTTCAACTTAATAATGGATGTAAATCCGATCATAAGCCCAGTGCTTTTTGAACAACAGATCACAGAAACTATCTTTGGATTAGTCAAGTAAGTTCTTTTGAGAAAAAAAACTAACTTCAATATCAGTTGAGTTCTAACTCCTCCTTGGCCCAAATTACTCTTTTTGTTCCTATTCTAATGGTGATACAGCAGGGCATGATTATCCCAGGTGCAAGGAACAGAAGAATTTGCAGCTTTTAATTAATAACACCACGCTTTAATTATAGTAATGAGAACGGGGAAGAGCATTGTTACTCAACAATCACTACTGTTAAGATGGAGGAATTGGGATCCATTTAAAGTATGCAAGAATTATACGTGTCCCATTTAGAGAGACGAAAAGGTTATTTTCATTAACAGTGGTGTACTATAGGAATATAATAAGATTAGGATCGACAACATTAAATTAAGGTCAAAGATGTGGGCGTGCTTCATTTTTTTTAATTATACTGCATGCATCATTATCCATACAAACAGAGCCAAAATATCCTAATTGATACCATGCATATTGCTTTAATTAATATTAGTGGGTAGTTTCTTGAAGACCGCATTAAGCAAGCTTTGTATATATGGAAGTGCGATGATGAAGCATTAGTATATTCTCTAATGGAGAATTTCAATGGTCCTTGAACTATATAATGCAGCTGCAAGCATCTACCTCTGCCTTCCAATTTCCAGCTAGTGGAAACAGCTTTTTAACTTAAAAAACAAAGAATCAATCCTAGGCGATGATGGCGATTGGGATTTGCCTTGTAAAGGCGGCCGTCCATATTGAAAGGCTTGTAATTAATTCAAAAAATGTTTGATTTTTAAAAGTATATTTTGTTTAAAATATATTTAAAAAAATTATATTAATATATAAAAATCATTAAAAAAAACTCTAAAAAAAACTAATCTAATTTATTTTTGAATGCAATATACTTTTGAAACATTTAAAAACAAAAATTACCGACTCACCAAAAGGTTTGGATGCAAGAATATAAAAGGTTATCCTTTAATAATTATCTTCTATAACCTGTTGATACTGGATATGCTTTCCTCGATCAAGATCATGACTATGATGTGATTTTATAAATCATATATTGGCAACTTTACAAAACATAATTGGGTCAACGTAGGTTATGAGCTCGAGGAAGGGGAAAAAAATGTTGTACCTTTGTAATCAAGTATCTACAAGGAAAAATATGAAAGTAAACACAAAAGGACCGGAGAATAATCATGTGTAGTTTTTTAAAAAAGAATTTGATCAACTTTTTCTATTAAAAAAAATGATGCAGTGCATTTATATGCCTTTTATTTTTATTTATTTGTAGAAAATCAAGAGTTAACATTTCAATTGGAGATGTAGTCTTTGTAAATTCCATGCAATTAATCGTTTGCCGGATAAAAAAAATAGTAAATTTTTTAAACAAGAGGGCCGGATAAAAATCTGCCTGTATTTTTCTAATAATTAAATTAAATAGAAGTAATATATATAAATGGGATGCATGAGGCGTGATTTATTATAAACATGTTATGTTCGCCGAGTTAGGGTAGAGACGTGATTAATATTTGGCGTTTATAGGAAAATACATGCATGGAAACAAAAGATTTCCACTTTTCGTGACTTTTACAAATGCTGATTGAATCCTTTGCTCGCCATGGCAGTACTGTGTGTGAGATTAAAATGGTAATTGACACAAAAACTTGAATTATTGGGTCTGGCACTGTCAGGGACATGTCTAATGGTTTCGTGAAATCAGAAATAGACACTACGGCTTCTTGTGGTCACCTTGTCAGCTATGCCATCTATGTTTTATCAAATCAACGATGCCAATTGTCTCACTGTTTGGAGACATTTTAAGATTAAAAATTCAGACCGGATTAAGTTACTTCATTCTAATTCTAGATAAATCTCTTTCAATTCTAGATTACGTTGGAAAAGGTACCATACAGTAATGTAATGGTGGCGAGAACAGACAATGAGGGAGATCGACGATGTACCTGGTTCAAAGAATATGGAGATGCCAAAATCATCAATTGCTTTTAATTGGGAGCTTTCACTTGCATCTGCAAACAAGAAATTTTCTGGCTTCAGGTCCCGGTGTATCACTCCATGATCATGGCATACCTGCAAGGAGTATCAACATTGAAATGATTACTTTCTTTGCGGAAAAACTCCAAATCTCGCAAGAACATAGATAGCTGTTTGTTCCAAAGTATCTTGAATTCGAAACGTTCGATTTCGGTTTATATCTCAATATTTGAAGCACTTTAGAATCATGGTCGTGATAATTTTTAAATGATCTGCATAATCTAAAATTATAGATGGACTTATGTATGAAAAATTAACTAAGGCCCTCAACCAATTTAGACAAGGATTGAATTAATCATGAATCATGTTTATCATTTCCCTAATACATAATTCCGAATCCATGTAATATCTATACCTTGACAATCTCCAAAATGGTCCCTTTTTTTATTTTTTGGATAGACACACTCGTGATCCTCAAGCTTCATAATTTTCAGGTTTTATACCATTAATTCATACATAATAAAAGAATACGAGGATAAAAAAGATTAACGTATGACTCTTTTTTATTGTTATTATTTTAATTAAAAGTTGATGATTAGCAACTCAGTACTAACAGCATTAACAAAACCTCAATGTTAATATATTTTAAATCATTCGATAACGTTAACACCACACAATTAACCTGGCCTCATCAATATTTTACAAAACTTACTTTTCACTTTGCATGAATTTATTTAGATTGACCTTTCCAACTTGAAATAATTTTTTATCAAAATTTAACTGCATCACGAGTGGGAAAAACACTAGGAAATCAAGTACTCGAATTTGATATAAATTAATTCCAAATAATAACATTTATATCATTGCGTATTCTTGTGTGTGTGTGTGTGTGTGTGTGTGTGTAGAGAGAGAGAGGGAGAGAGAAGAGAAGATACGAAATTGTATACATGAACTAGAATTATTTCCCAAAAGAAAATAGAAATGAAATATATAAGAAGGGGAAAAAATGAGCGAGAAAGAAAGAGAAGAATGGGCCGCTCACTTTGTCCGTATGCGGGTTAGCACGCAGTCTGGCCCAGATGCAGAAAGAGTGGAAAAAGGACGAGAAGAAGAGGAACCCCCCTCCTCCTAAGTCCTAAAACAGAAAACATCTTTGACTAGTCGTTCAAGTGGGCCTTCTGTCCTGATTTTCTGGTCTCGCCGAGCACCATGCAAAATACCATCTCTCAGCCCCTCTTGCCTGCAGGCCCGAGGTTTCTTGTGGCTGTGCCAATTCAGGCAGTGTGGAATACTGGAAGTGTAAAGTTTGGTTTTTTTTCTTTTTTTTTTGAAAAGCATGACAGTCAAAACTAGCTATAATAAGTGGTAACGATGTTTTAATGCTAGCCAAGGTCTGCTTCAGCAATTTGAGATCCAAGAAGAAACATGACAGCTAGAAGAAATGTAGAGAATCAAACAATAATTATACATGCATTTATACCACTAAAGTTTACTTGTTATGTTGATCTGAAATTAGGGAAAAAGGTCATCGTTGCTATGTAGTGCCCGAAAAGACATGTATATTAGGGGCAAGAGAGCAAAAATAAGTTCAAAATTAGATGTTGGAAGATCACACTGATGGGAAGAACTTGTTCAGGTTGAAAGGCAAGGAATAGAATTCTTCACTTCTTGTGTCTGTCTTGAACGACCGGAACCTGTCCCACCAGTGCATCCCTCTATCCTTCCTAGTTGCCGTGTCTTTTTTATGCAACGTGACGTCCAAGAACATTGCCAAGAAGCCGGCAACAAAAGGTTCCGATGAGAATGGCACATTGATCATGTCATTGAACTGCCAGAAGATGCAATATCATGAGTTTCCTCACGGGACAAATTTCAAATATCTGACCAAGTGTGAGAAAAAGGCATAAACAATTACCCATCTTGCGCCAGTGTGAACGGGCCCATAACCTTTAATTGCTGTGTACTCATTGAAGTATTGTGGTATCGACAAGCCCATGAAAACGGAGAACCCAAGTATAAACTTCGTTCTGAAGCTGTTTAGGTTGCAAAACTGCAGGAAAGAGAGACCTGCTGAACCTGTTTATGTAATGAAA